ATAAATACAAAAATCAAACAGGTTAAAAATTAAAATGCATTACACAATTAAAACCTTCAATAACTTTATCAAATCATAACGGATTTTTGCAAAACTTGGTACAGAAAGTATTTTGGAGTGATTGAATGTAAATACAAAAATAAAAGTCAAATTTTTTAAATTCAAAATGGCGGACTTTCCTAAAACTTATTTTTAAAAATGATCAAATTTGCTAACTCCAAATTCGTAATCAGCGACCCTGAAACCCTCCGAGTAACAATTTTCGAGCGAATCCAATGAATTTTTTAATTCTCGTCCGCCATTTTGAATTTTGAAAAACTGACTTCAAATTGGTAATTAGCGACCCCAAAAACCGTAGAATACCAAATTTTAGTATGATCCTGAAAAACTTTTTTCAACAAACCATTTGGCATAAAAATTGAAACACTCCTTCGAGAGAACAGAGATTAAGTTTCTGCTTATTAATTACTAACGAGGATACGTATAGAAAGAAAAACTTTTTTCTATGTACTTTTATAATGTTAAAATAATAGTGTAATGAAATAAAAACAATTTTGTGTGGCTCTGATGTAAAAAAAATTATTGAAAATACCGTTCGGATTTACCCCGGTTTTCCAATTTTCCTGGGTAAATACGAACGGTCTGATATTATTAATAAAATTTTACAGAAGGCAAAAATCAAAAATAGTTTCTGTTCTAGTATTCATAACAAACAATTATAAATAATAAAATAAATTTTTAGCTTCTTTTTCTTCAAATACGAGACAAAATACTGAAAGAGTGTCATCTTTGATTTTCAATCTTTTTTGCAATACTCGTTATCTTTGTTTATGCTGTTGCTAATTAACAAACGAAAAATGGGATAATACTTAGAATCTCTTGAAGAGGATCTGAGGTAAAATTTCTCATATCGAACTTATTTTTAAAAATTTTAATTAAGCTGAAATAATTAGCGTTCGGATTTACCCCCCGTTCGGATTTACCCCGGCTGACCCTATTGATATTTGAAAAATATATACTACAAGTAATAAATATTTATTTAAATACATATAATACACGTATAATAAATATTTTTTAAAATAGAAACCATTTTTTAATAAAAATATTCAACTCAACCCGAGGAAGAACGTAACCTATAAAATAACCGTAAACAATAACGCGGTTTATGTAGATTCCAACGCTTTTTATCGAAGTAAATGAAATACTACGAAAGTGCGCTAAATTAAAAATGACAAATGTAAAAAAGTGATAGTTGAGTTAAAACTGTTAGTATTATCTGCGATAATATTATAAAATATGTCAAAATATTAAAGATTATTTGGGAATACTCGAGGGAATACTTTGGAATAGACGTGAAACTATGGAAATATTGTAGAATATTCTCGAATATCAGTGAATACTGGGAATATTGAATATATATTAATGAATATAGGAATACTAATAGAATACATGGGAATATCTACCGAGTGTACGAGGAATATCGAAATTTTTCACCCCTCGGATCCTTTGATAATACGACAAAAGATTTTTTAGGCGTAGAAAGGTACAGAGTTTTTCAAACAGTAACAAATTCCTCCCTAATCAAAGAACGAATGTTGTCTAAAGAAACTGACGTTAACAAAAGTGGACCACAGCATTTTTTTCAAGATTTTTAAAATATAAATAATTACAAATGAGGTATTTCCATGCCAAATCGGAGACCATTTGGCTTTTGCACCTCAGATCTTGTTGAAATTTTTTTTCCTTTTAGTACCCAGTAAAAAAAAAGAATTGGGAGTAAGCGAAAAGAATTGGTGGTAACTTAAGCTGAATTCGGTTTGGTGAAAAAACGGAATTGGAACGTTACGGTGAATTATTTTTTTCTTACTGTGAATTCTTTTCTCTTGAACATTTGAATTGACGTTTGTTTATTTGAGTTTGCATTATAAATGAATAAAATAAATGTTTCGAAGTCTAAAAAAGCCGATTTGGAATAAGAAATATATAATTTTTTTAAAAGAAATAAAAGTGAAATGTGACAGATTTACCGACAATTTTATCATGTGAGTAGTACTCATATGGTAAATTTATCATATGAACACTACTCACTTGATAAAATTGTCGGTGAATCTGTCACACTTCGCTTTAATTTCTTTTTAAAAAATTATATATTTCTTATTCCAAATCGGCTTTTTTAGACTTCGAAGCATTTATTTTATTCATTTATAATGTAAACTCGAATAAACAAACGTCAATTTAAATGTTCAAAAGAAAAGAATTCACAGTAAGAAAAAATAATTTACCGTAACATTCCAATTCGGTTTTTTCGCCAAACCGAATTCAGTTTAAGTTACTACCAATTCTTTTCGCTTACTACCAATTCTTTTTTTTACTGGGTACTCATGAAGACTAGCTTTCACGATTTTTTTCAAATTTTTTCATCAAGCCCTTTAGGAGATATCAATTTTTGAAAAATTACGTCACTTTTTTTTAAATGCTTGTAATTTCGCTAAAAATTGACCAAATTAGATCAGTCTTATATCAAAATTTTTATTTTTAAACGTACTTTCCAAAAAAAATATTGAAAGTTATTTTCGAAAAAAATTTTTATTAGATTTTTTAGATTTAAGATTAAAAATTCATTTTTGAACCTGTGTGTATCGATCGATTTTGTTCAACATTTTTTTACAAAAACTACTCTAAATTTGACGAATTTTTAGCCTAGTCTGATAATGGGAAACCGATGGGAACTATTTTTTTCGAATTTTCAAATTTTACGTTTTTAATTATCTGTATGGAAATCAAACAATAATCATTTTCTCTCATTCAAACCCAACGATTATTGTTAGTTTTATAAAATAAAACAGTTTAGAAAATAAATAATAAAGTAATATTTTAATTATTTATCTAAAATTTTGTTTTATTTGTAGAAGTTATTAAGCAATTTAAAATGAATGATTATCAAAATAATACCAGATAACTCAATAATTAATAAATATGAATGAAATCTTTAATCACAAATTAAGAATTAAAAAATAAATTTGCAGACTAGGAAGATCAAAACCTGAAAAAAAACGATAGATTCCTGTTTTAAAACAGAAATTATTTTCAAAATGGCGGAGTAATAGCGTGCGCAGATGATTACGAAAACGCGACGTGCGCACTGTTACTCCTGATTAATAATATTAAAAATAAAAATTTTGATATAAGATTGATCCAATTTGGTCAATTTTTAGCGAAATTACAAGCATTTAAAAAAAGTGACGTAATTTTTCAAAAATTGATATCTCCTAAAGGGCTTAATGAAAAAATTTGAAAAAAATCGTGAAAGCTAGTCTTCATGAGTACTAAAAGGAAAAAAATTTTCAAAAAGATCTGAGGTGCAAAAGCCAAATGGACTCCGATTTGGCATGGAATACCTCAAATACAACCTGTATTGTACTTTTTACATCCACTTTTTATACCTGGCACTGCTTCTAGAGCACCGTGAATGACAGAGAAAACGGACAAAATAACAAACAAATGAAAAACACAAAAAATTACTACAAGAAAAAAGAAATATATTTGGTATCACTTTCTTTAGCACACTTGCTGCATCCTATTAAGTCAGTGGTCATAAAAAGCAAGATTATTTGATAGCCAGAACTCGCGTAAAACAAACTATGCATAACAGTTCATAGAAGCACCTTAGACTATGCCGGAACTTGGGACGAAATTTTATGGATATGATATCGCGAATTTCAGTTATTTGTTAACAGCCCTGATATGACTTCCGCATCTCTCCTATCAAGTTTAGGGATTACCAATGCTCTTTTCAGATTGATGTGTTATTATGTTTCATTGTTTGAATTCCAAAGCCAAGCATTTACTAGAAGCATCATAGAGTTAGGTCCAAATAATTTTTTCTCTTCTTCATTTCTATCTAATTTATTCGCTGTGTCATTACTCTTGAATCTACTGTGGCTAGGGACCAAGAGGAGAGTGACGGTACTGGCATTCAGAGTGGTTTCGAGATATTTAAAGAAACGTATTTTTAACGAGCAGCATTAATATTTAAAACATAATAAAATAATTACAATCGATATTAACTAATTTGGATATGCTCTATTCAATGATGCTAAATTTTTTAGAAATTTTCATTTGTTATAATAAAAAAATCGATTACTGCCAAAAATAGATTTAGCAATCCTGGAAACACTGCTCGAGAGACGGTATGTGCTATTACGGTTGGTGTAACGTCACTGCTTTAGAGTCGGTATTTGCATGTATGAATGTAGAAATGCAAATACGGACTTTTTGCAAGGAAAGTTGGCCTTTCTCCGTTTGAAATTCTTGAGGGAAGAGTCGGTATTCTCGATACTGCCCATTGGCAGTCTGATTTAACTCGAAATCCTAATGATTTCGAGTTAAATCAGACCATATTTCCTGGCAGTACTCGCCAATGCGGACTGTGCTTCAAGGAAAGTACGTAAATACGTCATCATTTTGAAGCAGTAAGAGCATATACCGACTATTTTCTCTGCAAGTACGAACTCTGTAGGAATTATTTCGCGAAAGTAGGGTAATTAATAATTAATTATCTCCAAAATTAATTAATATTGTTAATTAAGATTACTACAGCTAGGTTCCTTTTTTCATAACGAATCCAGTGATATAAAAAACTTATTTTTGATAAAAATGTCGCTTACCGACTATCATTCAGAACGAACGCCATATACTATGCCAATCCTCTTTAATAGGTTCATTTATTTTATATGTTTTATCAAAGATGTATAAAGGGGACGGTACTATCCCTGATCATGTTGAGTAGAGGCTTCTCCACTAAACTATTAGAAAAACACCATCTTCAAATTTACCTTCGGTTCTAGTAAATTTTTCTAACATTTTTTTAGATTATGTTACTATTCAAACATATTATACTCAAAGTAAACATTTATTATACTATAATGAAATATATATTAACTGTTAAAATGATTTCTTTGTCAAAATTTTTATTCCTATTAATACTATTTCTTTTTCAGTATAATAAACCACGCGCTCAGTTGTCTAACAACCAAGATCTCCCTGATTGTATAAGTTCACCGATAAAAGAAGATGTAAAAGAAGATAACAATAATCACCATAATGGTTTGAAAGGAGGCAGACCGTCGCAATCCATGAATAGTCATCTTGCTTCAGCAACAAGGATAATTAATCATCATCTGTTTGGGACAATTAGTGATTCCAGGCAAAATACTGGTAATTAGGTGGTAAATTCCAAAAAAAAATGCCGCACACGTTGTCTTCACTATTTTTCACATTATATACTTAGTTATATTATACGTACTATGTACACACTGTTGGGGTAAATTCATTAAGAAATATTTTTCTTTTGCAAAACCCTCTGTTTCACATAGTTTGAACGTATAAAAATAAAACTAGAAATAGTAATAAAGTTCTGCGTTTTAAGCAGAGAAAATATTATTCCAGTCTTCATACTTCAAAACCTTATTTTCCTTAATTTAAACATTAAGTGGAATGACAGTAATTTGTAAAAATCATATTTTAAACATGTGTATGTTCAGATACATTTTAATAATCTGAATATACAATTTTATGTAAATAAATTTTCCAAGAAGTTTATAAAGTATAAGCCAGTGAGACTGAAACAGGTGCAGATGCAGGTTTGATGAAAAAAAATGTACTGCTTCCACTTCTTCGTAAAATTATCTGAAGTTGTTCCAGGATTTCAAATTTCCAAAACCGAAAATCAAAGCTGATTTTATTTTCGAAATAAACATATATATATATATATATATATATATATATATATATATATTAAGGGCCAGTTTCATCAACTCCGGTTAAAAGTTAATCAGCGATTAAATCCCTAACCGACCAATCATGAGCGTTTAAATTGGCTTTAATCGCTGATTAACTTTTAACCATAGTTGTTGAAACCGGACCTAAAATCTTCAAAACTCTTATTACAGTTTGGATTTTCATTGGTTTTGGATTCGGAGCTACAGTTCAAAATATCCAATATTGATAATTTTGATCCACTATACTCTACTTATTTTGACAAAGAAATATGCTTGAAATATCATAAAACATTTATTTCGAATTTTAAATTTAAAAAAAATAATAATTTTAAAAAAATTAACGAAAGATCGAAAATTTTTCTTAAATTGTTGACTTTCAACATCAACCAGTCCTATGATAATTTATTAAAAATAAAAATCTTTAAAACTATTTTTTAAAATCATGAACACCCGTATTTCGCTAGGGGTATTATGTTTTATTTCGAAAATGATATAATTTCAAATGTATTTTGAAAAATGTGCCATTTGAAAATTGACAAATCTTATTACTAAACTGACAGTGTGAACACTAAGACTGTAAAGACATGAAAAGTTGACATTAAATGAAACGTATTCTTAATTTCATAACTTTGTCGAAATGTAATAATTTTAAATTTACATCATTTCTTACCTCACCAATGATTCTTTCACATATGAATTTCAATATTTTTGTCTTGTAAAATAATTCAATCGTTTAAGAGATTTAATCAAACGCCACGCTCGGCTCTTTAAATCACTTACATTATTCGCATTCTTCCTTTCATAGTATTTCACCAAACAGTGCGCTTATTTTCCAATAATAGTTAACAATTACATGAATTTATTGGATAATCTCACACTATCATACCTTCACATTTCTACATGTAATGATTGTTAAGGAATGTTGAATATTAAGTCGTCGGATCAAGGTTCATAGAAAAAAATTTAAAAATTTAATTACAAATTTAACTAGTATATTAATAAAGCAATAAAAAATAATACAATATCTAATACACTTATTTTGTCGGTCGAGAAACGCGTCGCACAATTAACAAACTATAATAACGGAATGTAAACGTAGCAAAAATGAATTAAATGGATCGTTCTTATATATTAACCGTTTTACTTTAATATAATAAACCAAATGTATATTCTTGACAAAAAATAATATCAGAAAAAAATTAATACACGTAAACTAAAAACACGGTAACGCAACGAGTTATATAGGGTTCAGTACATTGCGTAACATGTGTGAACTAGCGGCCTTTTTGGAACGAGTGCTAAGTTTTCAAATCCCTATCAAAAATTAACTATTTTCGCAGTACTGCCAGTACTGGCGCGATATTGGTACCAGTACCGCGCCAATAGTGAACTCTGGCAATTTTTAGTAGGGATTTAGCGCGAGTTTCAAAATGCCGCCACACGTGTTGCGCACATTACTTTTCATAATAAAAAAAAATTTAATTCTTACACAATGTAAAAAATTAAAAATAACACACATATTCAAAACAAATTAAAATATTATAAAAAACGAAAGTCAAAAAGTCTTCGCGATGCATTGAAATAGATCCTTTTAAGAGAGCTGTCAAATTTACAAAAGAAAGTGAGGTTAGGTAAATAAGACAGACTAGACAAAAAAGTATTTCCATATCAATTAAAGCAAAGTAAAACCTGCAATCTATTACGCGTGAAAATGTGTTGCTGATAATACCGCTAATTTTTTATAAATTATGAGAAGATTTTGAGCTACGCTTGTTCTACGAAATACTGCAATTGGCTTTTTTACCGCACTGTACTCTATTGCTAAATAAGTCACAAAAATTTTGACTATATAAAACAAAATATAATTTTAAATAATTGAAAATTAGTTTTAGTATGTTCAGTTTTTTATAACATTGCCTTGCTTCAGCAATATGGATATTATAAAATTAATAACTGTCCGTTTGGAAGAATAAAAAATTTGGGCAAAAAAATTATTTCAAAAAATAACGCACACGTTGTCTCCACTATTTTCCACAATATGTACTTACAAGCAACACTATTGAACTCTGAAACCTCAATTTTGATAAATACAGGTTTTTGTTTAAAAAATAAAAAAAATTAGACAAACATTTTTTTAACTACCAGGCCTAAGGAAATTAAATTTTAAGATATAAGGGCATTCAATTGTACATAGCTAGATTAAAAAGGATACTTATTAAATGAATTATAATTACTAGGAATGAGAAAACATGATGAGAGAAGTTAAGGCTTTTAAAAACAAATTAAATTTTAAAAAATCCACACTTCCCAGTCGGAAAAAAACATGTTTGTTTTAACAACGTTCATATAACATTTTTAGAACGTTTCATGTCCGCCAAATAATGTTCTAAAGCATTTTAAGATGTTCAAATAATGTTCAAGAACATTTTTTGGCGGACATGAAACGTTCTAAAAACGTTTTGAGAACATTTTGGAACAACCTGGTTCTTCGCTCACTGAGGTACTCCTAAAAACCACCCTTAACAGTAAAAACACCTGCTTTATATGTAAAGTAGATTTTTTAAATACTTGTTATTTAATTTAGGACTAAGGCAGATGATATTACATGAAACAACAATAACACTGTGCTAGTTCAATAAATGAACAAACTGAGTATGTGAATTAACCAAATTTGGGTACGCTGAATTGAATGGTTTTAGACGTTTTTTAAGATCGGGGCAAATTTTTTAAATAATCGCCATTTTGTTTTTCTCCCATTATCAAAACAAAACATTTTTCCTAATCAAAAAAAATAAAATTGGGCTTGAAACTCGTTACTCAGGGTATTTTGGTGTCGCTGATTAAGAATCCGGTAACAGTTTTTCAAAATCCAAAATGGCGGACTTTTACCAAAATCGTTCAAATTTGCTTGAAACTCTCTACTCGTAGGTTTACGGGGTCGCTGATTTTGAATCCAGAGTTAGTTTTTCAAAATTCAAATTTTGGGCCAATATGGCAGATTTAAAAAAAAATCGTTCGGATTCTATTGCTTTATGAAACACTCGCATACATTTCAAAATATGTATGGCGATTCTGATATGTAAATCACGCTGTTTAGGAATCCTTAAGTAAGTTTCAAGAATTAAAAATTTCATATGACAAATTAATTTCTTATAAATTTATAATACATCGAATTCACTAGAAACTCGTTTGGGAGCGTTCACAAATTACGTAACGTTTTTTTTTTAATTTTGACCCCCCCCCTCCCCATGTAACACGTTATTGCATGCATTAGCGCCATTTTTTCTGCTGTCCGTAACAAAGTGCTTGACCCCCCCCTCCCCCAAAAATTGTTACGTAATTTTTGAATGCTCCCTTACTTGGTAGTTTTTTGGTGTCGTTGACACCAGATTTGTAATCAGCGACCCTAAAACCCCCGAGTAGAGAGTTTCAAGTCAATTTTATTCTTTTTTATTAGGAAAAATGTTGTATTTTGATAATGGGCCAAATAACAAAATGACGATTATTTAAAAAATTTGACCCGATCTTAAAAACGGTTAACGCTATTGAATTCAGCGTACCCAAATTAGTGTTCATACACAATATGCCCAGTTTGTAAAAAAAGTATCTTTTGCGAGTATAGTGTAATTTTCCGATTAATCGCCTTTAAACTAGAAAACCACCCCTTTAACCCTTAAAGCGCATAACATTATAAAATTTATTAAAATGCACTCAGGGCTTTTGCCAACCACAGTATTTAAAGTTTGTTTGATAAGCTGGAGTAGGATACTATCTTCAAACAAAATTCATACAGTTTATCTTAAGAAACAAAGAAATTTTTCTTAAAAATAAAAAAAAAATTTAATTTTTAAATTTAATTTCTTTAAATTTATCTTAATATGGTATCGCAATGTGTTCAAATAAAGTTATTGCTTTAAAAATATATTTTAATTATTATAAGGTTATAATAAATAGTGGGTGATAGTTCTTCGATTTAATAAAAAAAGCCAGTGTGTGTGCAGAGAACTGTATGGAGGCCATTGCAAATAGGTCACCTTCATGCTACGCAGTTTTACTTTTTTCCTTCTCTTTTTTGGATTGGCAGTTTGCAAATTGTTGATAATATTTCATGCTAGTGATTTTAACTAAATAAGTAAGTGAAAGATTTCGGGTAAAGCTTAGCGAATATGTTAACGCAATGTTAAAGAAATATTTTCTGAAACCATTATCACAATTATAAATCACACATAATATGGTGTCAAACACCCTGAACTTTTTTGGGCATCTACTTTGAGTAATTAAAAAAACGTGTGAGACCCCCATAATGCGCTTTAAGGGGTAATACTGAAATCCAAAATTGATAAAATTTCTTGTGTAAGATATGAACTTCTTCTATACATGTTTAAGAAAAATTCACGGGATCTTAAATGTTCTTCCTTTATGTGTTAGTTCTGATAATGAAGTACGATTTAGAGGAGAGTGGAGCTGGTTGCACCACGCACAGTGGCCGATTTCCCGAAAAACCTGGCCAAAAATCGAAAAATGATACGATTTCAACCAAAATTGGTATACCCATGTTTTTTGGGCTTCTGAATTCAAATTTTACATTGGTTGTGTCAAATTCAAAATGGCGGATCCAAAATGGCCGTTTAGATTTTAGAAAACTTTGCTGAAAATCGAAAAATGATACGATTTCAATCAAAATTGGTATACCCATGTTTTTTGGGCTTCTGAATTCAAATTTTACATTGGTTGTTTCAAATTCAAAATGGCGGATCTAAAATGGCCGTTTAGATTTTTAAAAACTTTGTTAAAAATTAAAAAATGGTACGATTTTAACCAAACTTAGTATACTTACGTTTACTGGGTTTTTGAAATCAAATTTTACATTTGTTTTATCAAATTCAATATGGCGGATCCAAAATATTTGCTGGTATTATAAAATTGCGTATATGTGTTAGAGTTTATTTTTTTTAAATTACAGACAGTGCTTAAATTTTAGTTTAAAGCGAATGCGAATGAAGAAAAAGTCAGTCTTTCATGTTCAGTTGCACCGCCGGCCGGTGCAACGCGCTGTCGGTAAACCGCGCTGGGTGAAATAAAAAGTGATACCAAAACTGCAGGGGCAGCTTCGGGCAGCTGATTTCAATTAAAATGAATCAAAAATATATTCTAGTTTATGATAATACCAGGTAGAGCGCGGACATCGGTGGATTTTACAATTATTTTCATGATTTACGTTGATAAAACAATACAAAAATCGTAGCCATGAATAGCGATGTTTAATGTCATTTTTTAAAAACTGTACGTTTTAAATGTGATGATAAATACATTCAACATATTTCATACACCTTTGTTAATAATTCCCAAAAAAAGATATTCAAAAATCTGCTGTATATTAGTATATTTTCACTATTTTAACTGTGACGAAAATTTATAGTTATGAAACGTTCTGAGTAAATCTCTGGCAAAGATCACTTTTACTTGTTCACATAATAAATTGGTCATAAAAAAAGTGTAATTTTTTTTCGCAAAATTATGCAGTGAACCCTCCTTTATAATATTCAACAATAAAAAGTATAAATTTCTAAAAAAAAATTTTTGACTTTTGGCCAGGTTTTTCGGGAAATCGGCCACTGTGCCACGGGGCAAGATGCACCATACTAGGTATGTCTTACATTTCTAGGAATTTATGTTTCTATGATAGTTATATCGAGTCAAATTTTTTTTTAAACATATTGCGAGTTTTTGGAAGATACACCACAGGTGGTGCAAGACTCTTCATCTGTGGGGCATCTTGCACCAATAGCGATTTTTTTTATAAAATACTGATTTTATAAATAGAAAATTATATTACGTGACGTATATACTCTTGACTCATAAAAGAGTGATTGCTTTTTTAATTTATCGTATACAACGTATGAAATGAATGATATTATAAAAGTTATTACAGTTTTTAAAAAAAGTGGTGCAACCAGCCCCACTCTCCCCTAATCAAAAGTCATTAAAGAACAAAAAAAGTACTGTAATAAAACCACATATGCATGATTTGCGAATAAGTATGATTGGAGGTAACAAAAGTACATTAGACTGTTTAGGAAATAGGCATAGAAACTAGTCAAACTATTTTAGTGTAGTTGCACCAATGGTAGATCAACTGTAGTAACCAGGTTTAACTATGTTCTTTTTAATTCAATTACATGTTACTAAGTTTAAAAAAAGTACCCGGCTGAAAAAACTTTTACAAGAAAATGTATATTTTTTTTACATATTTTTTGTGCAGGTTTCATGTATATTTTCTTGTACCAGAGATGGAACATGTTCTTGTACATGTTCATTTATGTATTTTAAATTAAAAACTTTAAAGGCTGCGCAGTAGTTTTCTTAAGCTTTTACAGCTGCGCAATAATTTTTAGCATGCACACGAAGAAACTTTAGTTTATAAAATTTGATATTATAATACTAAATTTTACAAAAAGCCAATAGTAAACGAAGATATAACGTTATCTTTGTGAAAATTACTATTTAAATATTATACTGAGTGAGTATTCTTAATTTGGAAAGAGTAATATAATAATTATGGATTCATATTTCTAAACAGTAGGAAATTTTAATAAAAAAAATAGGAAACTGATGTTGGTGAATCGTTGTAAACGAGCTTTATAAATATATTAAGAACTGAAAAAGAATTATGAAATTTACAAAAACTATGGTAAATATCCATCCCGTGTGAAAATAAAATTACTATAGTGTTTTGGGAATATATTGACATAAAAGTTAAAAAGCCCTCCACAATAATAGAAAAAAAAATTATTACTATACTAAATTTTACCATAGTCGATATAAAATGTTCGAAGTTGCACCTTCAAATATTACAGTAAACATATTATATATACTCACACATATTACATATTCTTGAGGAACACACACTTTTAATACAATACTAATATAAAGAACCTATTCTAATAATACACACATTCACATAATCGTCGCAATACATGTAAATACATGTAAATCTAATTTAATATTTTAAATTTATTTAAATTTATTAATTAAAATATAAATTATTAATATAAATAAAGTAAAATTTAAATAAAATTCTCAAAATTAAATATTCAGTAAATTTCATTTTGTGTTTCCTTCACTGTTTAACTTTTTGAATAATTTTAATTAAAAATTTGCAAAATTTCTTCAAAATTTTAACAATAATTCAAAAAATTTTATTATTTTAAATAAATATAATAAAAAAATTCTAAGAATTACTTTCTTACAATGATTACTATATACTTTTTTTGAAACTATTTTTTGTTTTGATTTTTTATTAAAAATTTTCAATATTTGATTTTCAGACATTTTTATGAAACACTTAAAATAAATAAATTATTTTCAATAAAACACAAAATAATATTAAACACATATTTAAAAATAATTTTTTTACATGAAATTTTACATTTGATTTAATTATTATTTAAATTAATCTAATTTGTTAAATCTAAATATTGAATAAAATGTTCAAAATAGTCATTTCTCATATTTGCAAAGTATATACTTAATAAATACATATTGATAATAATATTACTATTACGTGATGAAACCCAATCGGTTATACTCGGCAAAAACCGGATATTTTTCGTACATCATCGGTAAAGTTCGACCAATCGAATGCTACTAAGAAATAAAATTCCTATTTTCAAAAGGAATGTTTTCAAAAAACAATTTTAGATGTTACAATAACCAATTTTAAGATGAGCAATATTTTTAGCACCTCTGCTTCTTTCCAATAAAAATAGTAATATTTTTAAAACAGAATGTAATATGTGAAATTTCAACTTTTACTTTTCATAATTATTCTAGTCAAAATTCTTTTTGTGAATATCTCTTTTTTCTAATTTACAATTCATATAGCTTTTATTAATCATTCCAACTCCTTATTGTAATTATTAATAATATACTATACTTTTAAATGATACTCTCTAAATTTGAATCAGCTAAAATCCGCTGATTGGCAGCAAATAGTCGCTGATTGAAAAAGCTATAAGTATGCAGCTGCGAGTCAGCGACTAACAACTATTTCAATCAGCGAAATACACCATTTTAAAAATAAATTTATCTTCCGACGAAAATGACCGACGTTCGCCGATTTGTGTTTCGCTATTTTATTAGCTGTATCCGCTGATTTGCAGTGAAAACTTTATTCGCTGATTCAAACAGTGAAATTTTAGCTAATTTAAATTTAAAGAGTACCGATTAATTTATTTTGTAATACAGTAGTAAAAAATAATGTCATTTTTATCACTTCATCCTCTCTTACTATTGGTTTTTTGTAAAAATAATTATTATAATATCAAATTTTACAAACTATAGTTTCTTCGTGCATAAGTGAATTATAACTTATTTACTATTATAGCAATATTATAATTATAACTAATTAGTTCAGTTGTAATATTAGATTGGCGTGAGGATCAAATAAAGAAACCTTTTTCTTTTTTTAAAAAATTGTCAGACGTTTCTGCTCAAATGGGAGCAAAAAAGAAAAAGGTTTCTTTATTTGATCCTCACGCCAATCTAATATTACAACTGAACTAATTAACAATAAAGGATCAATATAATTCCAAACATGGATAGAATATAATTATAACATTTACTATATAAATTATCTTTTCTAACTTTTATTGATCTTTTAAAATACATTTTTCTGCATATTTTGTTGGTTTAATAAATATTTTTCAAAGAAATCAAAAGTGGGTTAACTTTCAAAATATCCAATCCGCCAGGGCGCACATATATTTTTGCTGAAGCATAAGGTCAATTTTTTTTATCATACGATAAAATTTATCTCTAATTGTAAACAGTTAAAACAACTTTATTTTTTGTACTTTCATCAATGATAATGAGTGTTTCTTTCTTAACCTTAAGTTTTCTTTTTATTTTTATAATAAATTCTTAATTTGTAATATGTTAACATATATGAAATCTGAAATAAAATGTATTTCCTTGTTTTGTTTTAAAAGATTTGTTAAATCTAGAATTTGATTGATTAAATAGGGAAAAATGTAATCAATTTACTAATAATAAAAAGTAGGAAGGAATTAGAGCATAGTCGCCAGTTCACCGCATACTGAAAATCACGTAGTGAAATTGTGGTTTATGTAAAAAGTATTGAAAAGTGGACATTTCAGGATCGACTACGGGAAGTAAGCTGTCACTGTCGGTTGATTCAATTGATAGCGAGGCAACGCCATTTATAGAGGGACATCGTAAATCAAAATCGATTTTAAAGAAATCCGAAAGTAACAGTAACTATTATAGTGGTATTGGAGATTCGGATACTGACAATCTGATAGCTGACAATTCGTCAATAATGACAATGTACGACAATGGAACAATTACAAGCAACACTTTACGAAATATTTATGGAGGTCGTTTGGAACATCCTATCTCACCGCTTCTATCTAGACAAGTCATTGAATCCATATTTCGAACTAATAATAATTCCAGACAACATTGCCAAATTAATTTGAATGATGGAAAACATTGTAAATCCAAATTACACAAACCTTTACTTGATCACACCATTCAAGGTAAAGTAAATTACTTTCTTTTGTTTAAAGCTTATAGTAGTAAACTACTTTTTTTTTCGTATGTACATAGGTCGACTATAAATTTTATGATTAATTTTTAGTTCATTTGCTACTCACTCTCTGTAAGTCCTAAACCAAACTGTTATTAAATTTTAGGTATAGAACATCATTTTAAGGGAGCAGTCCACGGTCTGGTCGTAATTTCGAATCTCTTTTTAAGAAAGGTTTGCAAATGAACTACACGCGATACCCTATTAAAAATCATATAGGTTCCTTTATAAAAACCGTTATGAAATCTTAGGTCTAGATAGGAATCCATATAGAATTCCATGTAAAATCATATATGAAATTCGGACACGATTTGGTGTATGATTTCATGTAGGAATTTATGATGTTGTTTCTACATTGAAATCTATGTGAATTCCTACATTATTTCCTATAATTTTTCTGGCATATTATTTTTGTTGTGATTAAAAAAGAAAGATATAAAAAATACCTACAAAAGGGTGGGTCGAAAGTTAAAATCGGATAATTTGTTTAAAAGTTATTGAATTTAAACAATTAAAAATGTCACTTTTTTAATTGTTTAATAACTTTGTTAATAATAATCGGGTTGAAGTGAAATTTTATTAAAATGTGCCCTTCGCGATACTGAACAAAATGAAAAAACTTCGAACCCAATGGGATGAATAGTTTATAAATTATTCCATTTGTTAATTAAAAACATGTTGTTTTTCAACTTAATTTCTACAGAACGATATGGAGCGAATTCAATTTTTTTCATTCATTTTACTCTTCAAGAGTGATACTATCAAGTATATAAAAGAAATAATCGAAATTCATTATTTAATTTCATAATTATGTATAAAGAAAAAAGGGCATGTTTTTTACTTATAAACAATTTCAATTACTCGGTCAGTTTTTAACTCTATTGAATTCTAATAAAGGCCATTGCATTTCTTTTTTCTTTAAAAAACTTTCAAAAAAAAAAAAATATGTAGCTTAAATGGCGGGGAGATAATTTTTTATTTTTAAAAAATTCCTGACACTATAATTTTTAATATTTTTTAGTCAAATTTACATACTATAAGATAAAAAATTGTAAACATTGTAGGAAAATTTATTCTTATTTATAAAGAGGGCCAAAGGGAGTTCATTATATTTCCTTGCTCTTGACGTCGGAGTGGGGGAACTCAGAAGCGAGGATTTACGCCCGCCACAAAAGTGAAATCGCCCGTTCAAATTTACAAAAGTTGATACAAATCATAAGAAGATCCTATATATGTTCTCATATGGATTCCTACATAGGAAATGTAAATGTTAATCATCATAATTCCACTCTTACGCCGCCAGATGGTGATAATTTTTTTTCTCACAGTTGAGATCATTCTTGAATACTATATAAGCTGAGACTATAACTCAGAAGGTGTATTGCAAAGCACACATTTTTTTCTTTTGAGATAAATTGCAGTAATAATATTTAATTTTTAATTAAATAATTTTTAATTTTTGGTAACTTCCTTCTGCATAAAGCAGTCAACTGAAATTTACCATATGAAATCCTATATTGTTTCCTATATATAAATGAATTGACATAGATTTCATTGTAGAAACAACATCATAAATTCCTTCATGAAATCATACACCAAATCGTGTCCGAATTTCATATATGATTTTACATAGAATTCTATGTGGATTCCTATGTGAACCTAAGATTTCATAACGGTTTTTATAAAGGAACCTATATGGAATCATATATAGGATCCCATGTGGGGATTTTCAATAGGGTAATGATGAACTATTTTTTGTCTTTTATTCTAATACCTATAAACTTTTAAAATGTTGCCTTAAAGTAAAAAAAAATATTTGCACACCCGACCTTGAAGCATTCTTGACTGCGCGCTTACTATAATATTTTCAAAAAGTTTGTGTTCTGACCTGGAGAACTGTTTACTGAACAATTTAAAAAAACCGCTTTGATTGACAAAAGTCTTACCAAAATTTTTAGAAAACTCTTTTAAATATATATGAGGTATTCCATGCCAAATCGGAGACCATTTGGCTTTTGCACCTCAGATCTTTTCGAAAATTTTTTTCCTTTTAGTACTCATGAAGACTAGCTTTCACGATTTTTTTCAAATTTTTTCATCAAGCCCTTTAGGAGATATTAATTTTTGAAAAATTACGTCACTTTTTTGGAAATGCTTGTAATTTCGCTAAAAATTAACCAAATTGGATCAATCTTATATCAAAATTTTTGTTTTTAAACGTACTTTCCAAAAAAAATATTGAAAGTTATTTTCGAAAAAATTTCTATTAGATTTTTGAGATTTAAGACTAAAAACTCATTTTTGAACCTATGTGTGTCGATCGATTTTGTTCAAAATTTTTTTACAAAAACTGCTCTAAATTTGACGAATTTTGAGCGTAGTCCGATAATGGGAAAACGATGGGAACTATTTTTTTCGAAAAAAATTATATACATTTAATTCTTAATTTGTGATGAAAGATTTCATTCGTATTTATTAATTATCGAGTTATCTGGTATTATGTTGAAAATCATTCATTTTATATTGCTTAATAACTTCTACAAATTAAACAAAATTTTAGATAAATAATTAAAATATTACTTTATTATTTATTTTCTAAACTGTTTTATTTTACAAAACTAACAATAATCGTTGGGTTTGAATGAGAGAAAATGATTATTGTTTGATTTCCATACAAATAATTAAAAACGTAAAATTTGAAAATTCGAAAAAAATAGTTCCCATCGTTTTCCCATTATCCAACTAGGCTCAAAATTCGTCAAATTTAGAGTAGTTTTTGTAAAAAAATTTTGAACAAAATCGATCGATACACACAGGTTCAAAAATGAATTTTTAATCTTAAATCTAAAAAATCTAATAAAAATTTTTTTCGAAAATAACTTTCAATATTTTTTTTGGAAAGTACGTTTAAAAATAAAAATTTTGATATAAGACTGATCTAATTTGGTCAATTTTTAGCGAAATTACAAGCATTTAAAAAAAAGTGACGTAATTTTTCAAAAATTGATATCTCCTAAAGGGCTTGATGAAAAAATTTGAAAAAAATCGTGAAAGCTAGTCTTCATGAGTACTAAAAGGAAAAAAAAATTTAAAAAGATCTGAGGTGCAAAAGCCAAATGGTCTCCGATTTGGCATGGAATACCTCATATATGATTGAAAAAACATGATTGGAGAAACAAACGACTTCATGGAGCACATTTCTAATGACGTCTTGATTAAAAACATGCAAAAAAATAAAAATCGTTTTTTTCAAACCTCGAACGTTGATTGCCCCTTAAGGTGTAATTTCACATTGAGTATTCAAAAAACACATGTTTCAATCTAAACTAAAAAATAATTTTTTTCAAAAATAGCCCAAACAGCACAACATATGTCCACAATATTGCATAAATATTACTTGACAAGACTACAAATATTGCACAGTAATATATTGCAGCAACATTTGCAATATATTGATATAATTTTGCTTCATTCACGTAAAATTAAAATTATTATTACTATGCGAATATTGTAGACAGTAATATCGCAATATTACGTTCTTAAGGCGGATTTAATCAGTATGTCAACAACAATATTGCAGAGCAATGTTGACTCAATATTGCTAGATCGTAATCAATGTTGTAGCAATATTTGAAATATTGTAATGTAATATTGATACAATATTTTGACCATATCTTGTGCTATTTGTGAATTTATTTACAGCACTTTAACTTAAACTACAATTTTTTAACTTTTATATGGTCGGAAACTTTTCGGTTATCTATAAGTCCCTGACTTTTTTGACAGATCTAGATTAGTGAAAAAACAAACTAATTATTCTATAAAGAAAAAGTAAGCGTATGAAAATCACAACTCATTGTCAGTATTTTAGGGAAAACTAATTACTGTAATTACAATCATTGTGTTTTTCGTCTGTATTTATGATTATATTTAGGGTCGTAATTATGACCGTAAAATTACAGTCGTATTTTTTCTAACCTCACAAAATATATCAGATCTTATATACCATATTTATTCAGATAATCATATTTATAATCAGCTACCCCAAAAAAACTCCAGATTCCTTGTTCCATGTAAATACATCAATATTTAAAAAAATTCGTTTGCTGCCATACAAATTCCGATATGTTTTTTAAGGTTAAAAAAGAACCCAGATGCGATAAAGAAAATTTCATCTCGAATTCGTTTCCTCTAAATAAAGGTCAACTTATTTAACTTAAATTTCAGTTTGAAAATATCACATTTCCAAATTGAAGCTTTTCAAGCTTAGTTTTCTAAATATGACATTCTTTATTTTAGTCTATGTGATTTTTACACGATCTGTTAAATAGTTTTTAATATTATCATTTTAATATGTAGTTAATTTTACAGGTGAGGTGCATTCCAGAGGTGAGGTCTTTGTAGATAATAAAACTAAAAGTGAGGAGCGGTTACAGAAACCAAAATACTTTATGGAAGTAGGAAAAGACAACCAATTCTTCCTCATGAGTTCACCACGTCTTCATAAGGATGGAAAAGAAGGATTTTCTGCTGATAAAAGAAGTAGCACATCCAGCAAGTCATGTTTGCACAATACTACAGCATGTAAAAATTCCGACCCTAATTGTCTTCCTCAAGAATCTCGAATATCGCAGAAAGATGAGTTGAATATCATACTATCTAAAGTCGAATAAGATCGAAAAGTGTTGGTGTTATTCTTGAGAATTAAATTCCATTTTCAAAAGTACTTCATTGATGTGAGGAATATTATATTTAAGGATTAGATATTTTTATATTTCTTTTAAGCGACGTCTACAATGGGAGAGGGTACGCACCGATATTTGAAACCATACTGCCATCCTGATTTAAAAACAGACTATGTACATTTAAAATCTTTTCTAGATATTTGACGAAATGCGTATATATAAGTACTTTCTTGAGTATAATAATTTTCAAAAATATGGTGATGTTTCCTGTTTTATTGGAGTATGAATCATTTTATATACTTTGTACATTGAGTTATCGTTTCTCAGATTTATGCACCAAAGAAGCTCGAGATTCTTATTTGCAAAAAACACATCTACGTAGTTGTGTATCTTTCGGATTGTAGACATTGCTTTATGTATGAGGGTAATTCTGGTACAGATTAACTAATAGCCTAATAGGACGAATGGACACCTCATCTATCGTAGTTTAAAATCAAGGTTTAGTCTGTTTTGTAAAGATTGAAGCCTATTTGAAACTCTTGCATTTCAGAAGTTTATATTTGATATGTAAAAATATTTTTTTTTAAAAAGAAAAATCAAGTTTTATCTCACAAATGCGTCTTTAACTCTTACAGAGTATTGATTTACAAAAAACATTTTTGAAATAAGACAATAAATTATAGAACATAAAAATAATTTTGCATAGGTACTTGTATTCAAGTGTTCATACTAAGGCACTGTAAAGAAATTAAATTTTTTGTTAATATATTTTCCATAGAACTTGAAAGTATTTGAAAAAGGTGTACAATTTCTCCCAGAATTACCCCAAATGTTATATTATTTTTCTCAAATATAATCAAATTAAAATTTTAAATCTTCCTGAGAAGATTTATTTGTCCTGAAAAAAATATAAATTTTTAACATGTTTAAAATTTTTTTTAAATTGACAATATTGCCGAATCATTTCAATATGATTATTAAGATAATTAAAATGCAAGATACTTAAATTTCAATTACAATGAAGACTATAACTTTATTTAATTTGAAATTTCAGACATAAAAGTATTAAGGTAGATTTGGGAATGTATGAAGTGTTAACATTATTATGTAGATAGAAATATTTTTTCTTCTTCATAAAGAAAGTTTTATAGCAATGACGATTTAATAAATCCAAAAATTAATTATTTATCATATTTATAACATAAATGAATATATTTTGAAATGAAAAACAGTTATCCAGATGTTTTGTGCGTGTATGTATGCGTAACACTATTTTTTGTAAACATATTATGTATTTAAGAATGCAATGTAATTAATTTTTTTCACTATTTATAAATATCTCAAGTACTGTACCGACAGCAATAATTAGTTGTCTAAGAAATCAGCGTAAATTTATTAAAGCAATTATAAATGTAAAGAAAGATACCATTTAAGATTTTTCTTAAATATCTAACTGAAAAAATAACTTATTTTTTATTATTTTACTTTTCAGTATTTTATCAGTTTTTAGAAAATTTTAATTTAATTTATAATTAACAAAAAGAGTTGGAGGCATAATTTTAAATGAAAGTGTGTATATTGTGTTTTTCAGAAAGAAGTTAAAGTTTTATGTAATGAATTTGCAGCTAGTTTTAAGTCGTCATCATTATAAAGGTATTTTTATGAGAAAGCTACAAGAAGAATTTTATGAACGTTCCTTGAGACAAAAAAAGTATGTCACTTCATAATAGAGTAAAATTTTAGAAAATTAATTTAGTTTGAAACCCAAAATACAATTTACTTTTAAGCAAAATTTGCAAGATAATTTGTTAATATTAGGATATGTAAATCAAATTGGGATACTGTGTGGAATGTGTGGAACACTACGCACTAGGGCTTTGCTATTTGTGAAATGCCTTTACTCCTGTAGTGTACAAATCCAAATACTCACAAAAAATATACATTGCCGCTACTGAAAATAAATATGTATTTCGACGCCATCCATTCATAAAGAATGTATTAAAATGTTAAAATAAGACAAATCAAATTTAATAACACGGAACAACAAAATCAAATTTTTTATTTCTAGGACCACATAGGGTGATTCTTATAAGTAAACACGAATCTTTAGCAAAGGAAAAACAAACAACGTCTTTCAAAACAATCTTTTGAAGTGCCTCAAAAATAATTTTCTTTAAAATGAGAATTACAGGTTTAAATGGCATTGTTTTCACACCTTTTTTTAAAACTCTGTATTTTTCTTCACAAGCGACATTGATTTTGAACATTAATAAAAAACAGATACCCTGAAAACTTAATTTTTTCAGTTTTAAATATCTAATTACTCTAATACGTGGGCTAATGAACAATTATTTATTCAATTGCGTGTTTTGCATCACGAAAGATTTAAGAATCACCTTCCATGCTCCTAAAAATAAAAATACAGTTGAACCGTGTAATATGTTAAATAGTTTTATTAAAATTTATCTCCTAATAAATCATATTTTAATTCTGTGTTCTGATAAATTAAGGGCAAAGTTAAATCAGAAAAATCAAAAGTTTTATGTGTTCATATAATAAGACCAAATTCAAATCAATTAATAGGAATTGTAAATGATTTCTATTTAAAGATGTAAAATTATTCTCCTTTAACCCTTGGAGCTCACAGATATTATTTTTATGACGGAGCACATAATAGAATCTTTATGACCATATAAACTTTCTGTAAATTACCGTTTCACAGTCACTTATCAAAAGTGAAGTTGAAAAATTTTTCAAACATTCTATGGAGTCCCTCTCATGTGGTGAGTTTGAGTACCTAATTGTTTTTTCACTTGTACTGTTAATTACACTTAGACTTACTAAACTTGTTTACATTTACTCTTGCACTCACACTCACACTTTCACTAAATTCTTTTTATATTTACACTAACACTTCCACTAAACGCTTTTTTCATTTACCCTCACAATTACCCTTACACTTTGACTTACAGTTACACTTACACATTTACTAACATTTTGTTGAGTAAGTGAGTGTGACAGTGCGAGTTTAAGTTTAAAAAATACTTACAGATTTTAAGAAAAACTGGTTCAAAGAGTCAAAAAACATTGTTTTTCAATGATTTGATCAAATGTATCAGATGAAGCTGAGATTCTGAAAATCAAAATTAGAACTTTCAGTTATAAAAACAGTTTTTTATTCAAAATTTTTTGAACTTTTAAAAACTATTAAACACAAAAATTAACAAAATTAATATTTTAAGGAAAAATTAAAAACTTTGAATTTTTAACTCATTATTTCCCCTTTGTTTCTTTAAAGTATTCCAAAATGATCATTATTTCGAAAGTTTCTTACTCTCCCAATTTTGGGATAGCTATATTTGAGACATTTTCTGAGAAAGGTAATGTTAGGTAAATTTATCATTAAGCTGCAAAGTTGTGTAAAAAATAAAGAATTGGACGATAGTGATTTTCGAACTGGACCGCTCCATATTTGACTCCAAAATTTAATGTGTTTTTTGTCTTGATTTTTATAGCTAAAAGTTAAGATTTCAATTCAAACGTACTTGAAGGCTTGCAGCATTTCAGCTTTATTTGATCAAAAACTTGAAAAACAGGTTTTCTGAAATTTTGAATAAGTTTTTCCTGAAATCCTGTTATGTGCCATTTTTGAGACCAGATTCGAATTCAACTATAAACAATTTATAAGCAAAACCTATTCCGATGGAGTAGGTTTTACATGACAACCTCTGTTATTCAAATTCGATGAACTCTTAAAGAAAATTACTTTTTAAAAAAAAATAAAAGTCTATGATGTATGACAGGATGTGAGTGACTCTGTATGTGCTCCTAACAAGGGTGAATATTTCTTGTAACATAATACTTCACACCTGAAAGTTATTGGTGAAAAATGTAATTGTTATTTAATGTTTACCATGCAAATCTTAGATTAAATTTTTGCACGCAACTGAAAAATAGAATTAAGCGGCCTATTCTATGGGGTATTGCTGCAGGAAATAAGAAATAAATTAAAATTTTATTTAAATGAAGTTATTGTTTTTTTGAACTGATCAGTATGAGTTTTTAAATATAGGTTATTAGAAATATTTAAAATCCCTGAAGTGTACCAATTCAAAAAAATTGTTCTTAGATCGGGCTGCAATTTGCATAACATTACGTACTCCGAAAGAGTACTTCACCCACGAATGATTATTAATTTTTATCAAAAACTGTAGAATGGGTATAATATAAAAGGGTAAAAAAAATTTGACCTACATGTTTTCGAAAGGTTTTTTTCTGTTCTTTTGAAAAGTGAACAATTTTTTTTTAAATTCAAAATTTACTCCTTTTTTTGAAAATCAAAAATATTTTTGATTTTTTTTGAGAAAGGACCATTTTTATTTTTTTACACCTATATTATTTTTTTATGAAATGACGGTTCCTTAAGACAAAAATTTTTTAACGTTAATAAAGATTAAAAAAATAATACAATGTCTATTTATTGTAATTTTTAACGTCAATGAAGATTAAAAAATAATACAATGTCTATTTATTGTAATTTGTAGGTACCTCTTTTAAGTACATTGAAAAAACATGATTTTCATGCTCAAAACTTAGGCATTTCTTTCATTTATAAAGATTTTTATTATTTTTTCCCTTAAACTACAACTGTTATGCTTTAGGGTAAGGTAGCCTAAGAGTACGCATTGCCTAAGAGTACGCACCATCGTATAACTCAGCATATCTCAGTTTTTTTAGGAATATTAACATCTATTTACTGCATGAAAAGGTTCTATCAGGTACTGCGAATAAAATTCTGTCGTAGTTTTAATCATAATATTTAATTTTTATATTGAAAGTTAGAAAGCGAGTGTCATTGTAATGTTTTTATTCATAAAATTAAGTGATTATAATGAGTTTCTTTATGTTATAAACAATTGTCAAGTACATATATTGAACGTATAATTAAAGCCCGTTTAATATAATAAAATAATTCTGAAATTGATTTTTTATAATTAAGTATTTTTTTAATTATTATATTCTTCTCGGTACTGCCTAAGAGTACGCAGTATAATTTTTTAAGCGTATTTACCATAATTTTGAAAATATGATCAATACAACTGTAATTTATGTTAATAAATAAAGAAATAATTGTTTAATATACAAAAATTGATAATTTAATAAAAATATAAATAACTAAATAGTAAATTGGTAGGTATGTGATAATTGCGAGTTATGTGACTAACAAGTAACACTAGGGGGGTGTCAGACGCCGATTTTCCTGCAACTTTGAATACAAGTAGTTCATTGGAAAATATTAGATGCCTATTTTTAGGGTTCCGTACCCGAAGGGGGAACCCTATTACCCTACTGAAAATCCCTGTACAAGATCTTGTACAATTTCCTGTACAGGATCAGCAACTGAACTTGTACAAGTTGTGACCAGTTCCTGTACAGGAAAATGCATACGAATTTGGAACAAGTTCATGTGTGAGATCTTGTACAAGATACAGGTGCAAGATCTTGTACAAGAAAGATGCTTGTACAAGAAAATGTTCATGTACAATTTCATGTATAAGTACTTGTACATGAACACGTCCATGTTCTTGCACAAGTTAATTCATTCCTTCATTCATTCACATTTTCTTAGTACTTGAATTTTCTCATTATTATTAGATTATATATACATATATATCTTTACTTTGATAATTAGGGTTCTCGAAGGTTTCTACCTGAAATATGATTTGTCAAAACAGCTTTCGGTTGAGGGTTCGTAAGATAGTCGATGACCTTTTAAATACTGTCCTGAAAGGTGAATTTGTGTCCCCCACTTTACCAGCCCGGTTCGAACAATCACCATGTGGTTATATGTACTGGAGAATAAAAAACAAGAAGAAAATTTTTGGTGCCAGCACAATTGTGTTAAATCGATTTACAACACATCATGTAGGTTTATTGAATTGAACTAAAATTATAAAACTTTTGAATATTAACATTTATTACACAGTCTTGCGAGGGTGAGTTTCTAGAATGGCTGTACTTGTTTCTTGTAGTTTTTTATGCGCTGAAAACGAATCTGACCTTCAAAATGCTTCATCACGTCAGGATTTTTAGTAAATAAAGCCTCAAATGTAAAAAATGGCCATTTTAGCCAATTTAGATAATTTTTTTTGGGATAGAAATTTTTATTCAATTTTCGACGAAAAAGTCGCATAGTACCTTAGTATCTTTAGACATTTCTGGGGAAAAATTTTCTAAAAAATCTTGTTTCTATCTTATTGGCTTGAAATTTGTTACTCGGAGGTTTTTGGGGTCGCTGATTACGAATCTGAAGTCGGATTTTAAAAATTCAAAATGTCGGATCAAATATGGCGGACAAATTTTACAAAAAATGATCTAATTTGCTTGAAACTCGTTACTCGGGGGATTTCGGGGTCGCTGATTACGAATGTAAAATCGGATTTTAAAAAATCAAAATGGCGGATCCAATATGGCCTGCCTTAACTGGTTCAAAAACCTCAGAGAAACGAATTTTTATTGAAATTCTTTCAAAAATGTAGGCCATTTTGGATCGCACATTTTGAATAATTAAAACTGACAATAGATTTTGTATAAGTGACCACAAAAACCCTTGAGTTACAATTTTCAAGGTATTCCGACAATTTCTAATAAAATATGTCTGCCATATTGGATCCGCCATTTTGAGTTTTGAAAATTTGACTTCATATTCGCAAGCAGCGACCCCCAAAACCCCCGAGTAACAAATTTCAAGCGAATACAATAAATTTTTTATTTTTTCTGCCATATTGGATCCGCCATTTTGAATTTTAAAAATCCGATTTCACATTCGTAATCAGCGACCCCGAAATCCCCCGAGTAACGAGTTTCAAGCAAATTAGATCATTTTTTGTAAAATTCGTCCGCCATATTGGATCCGCCATTTTCAATTTTTAAAATCCGACTTCAGATTCGTAATCAGCGACCCCAAGAACCCCCGAGTAACAAATTTCAAGCCAATAAGATAGAAACAAGATTTTTTAGAAAATATTTTTCCCAAGAACTGTCTAAAGATTCGTTGGGTATAGAACAATTCCATGGGATGTGATCACAAGAATTTTTGACAATTTTTAAAAATGTTCAAAATTTTTTGAGATATCTCTAATTAAAATTAGCTCAATGTTGGGCCATACAATGGAAAAAGTGGTTTTCTCAAATAAGACCATTAATTTTCAGTATCAAATTCGTAATCCTTATGAAATTCTGCGTTGAGATATATTGTATAAGTGCCCAAAATATTGGTCCCAATGTCTGAGATTGGGTACAACATGTTTTGACAAACACATAAATAAATTTTTAAAAATCTTATCTTTGGGGTTTTTGGGGTCACAGGATTAGAAATTCGAAGCTAATTTTGTAATTGGGCACAGAGCCCAATGTGAGGCCCACAGTAAAGAAATTAGTTTTCTTAAATAAAACCCACTAATTTCCAGTATTCATTTCGTAATCGTTATGAAATTCTGGGTTAAAACTTGTAGTACAAATGCCAAAAATATTGGGCCAAATGTCTGGGATTGGGCCCAATATTTTTGGAATTTCATAACGATTACGAAATGGATGTAAACTAATTATTTTACAGTAGGTCTCACATTGGGCCCCCAAAGATAAGATTTTTTAAAATTTATTTATTTGTTTGTCAAAAAATGTTGGGCCCAATCTCAGACATTGGGACCAATATTTTGGGCACTTATACAACATGTCTGAACGCAGAATTTCATAGGGATTACGAACTTGATACTGAAAATTAATGGTCTTATTTAAGAAAACCACATTTTTCATTGTATGGCCCAACATTGGCCCAATTTTTTGGTCTCAAATATGTAGATCTTTTTGTTTGGAACAACTTTTGTCTTAAACTTTTTTTACGAAAATTCGTACTTTTCGAGATATCTGAAAGTTTCCATACTATATAAAGGACGTGAAAACTAAGATGCACGCGTCCCGTCGCGCTGCACGTGATATTTAATTTTTTTCTCGCAAAGTTCTTGCTGTCCCATTATGAAAATTAGGGAAGTTATTCTTAACATCATAGGCATTAAGCAGAAAAAAATTTTTTTAATTCGAAGAGGTAGTATTTTTAAAAAATGAATTCAAAATGTTTTTTTTACTTTTTTCCGGGCAAAAAATTTTTTTTTTTTCATGAACTATTTTTTTCTTAAAATAGCATCTTTTTGTGAGCAATTTAAAAAAAATTGATCTCATTTGGATAACAGGAAAAAAAGTTGCATGGTTTTTTTTAAAAAATGACATAAATTTTTAATTAGAGATATCTCAAAAAATTTTGAAAAATTGTTTGTGGGCTTTCATTCTGTACAAATAAAGGAACATATTCACAAGGTTTCAATAAAATTGCTTCAATCATCAAAAATTCTTGTGATCACATCCCATGGAATTGCTCTATAACGTCTATTGGCGTAACTGAAACTGTAAATTTCAAAATGTCATAATTTTTTTTAAAAAATCGTACAATAATTTTGAAAAATAGTTTTTAAAGCTAAAAAAAAAAAGCTAAAAAATTATCAAAAATGGCTAAAATGGCCAATTTTTTACATTTTAGGCTACATTTACTAAAAATCCTGACGTGATGGGGCATTTTGAAGGTCAGATTCGTTTTTAGCACATAAAAAACTACAAGAAACAAGTACACCCATTCTAGAAACTGAAAAAAGTTAAATTTTGCAGGCCTGTGTTACTATTGGAGCAATATATGCTCGTAATCGTGAACTTTTGAGGAAAACGAATATATCAAAATAAATTAAACAATGTTTATATTTAAAAATTTTATAATTTTTTTGAAAAACTCATTAAGCGTCATAAAATAATATTGTCATCAAGCCCGAGAACGCCACACAGGCCCACCGCTGTAATTGACTTACACGAGGTCTGAGCCCGGGACAGGCCGATAGAGTGAAGGTATACCACTTCCCTTTACAGGACCCAATCCGTGATCGCTCGATTCGTCCAAACAGCCTTGGGTTGAGGGAAAAT